AAAATTAGTACACCCCACACCGAGTCTCTTCCTTGCGATGGTGCTCGGGATCTATAATCCGTCTCTTGATTCTCCTACATATGGCAAGACTCTCTCAATGGCATATGGATATCGATAAAAAACCAACTACCTAAGGCCTCAATGGCTTAGTTTTGCTCAAGCCCCTTTGGCTTGATCTTTGGAGAGATGAGTGTTTGAAGTCATTTTTCAGCACCTTAGGTCATCTATGCGGAATAAAAAGAGAAGCCGGTCAATAAAGTCTTGACATACAGTGGAATTCTCGACAGTCTTAGAAGTTCCCAAGAATGAATCAGAATGTTTTTAAGCACTTCAAAAGGCCACTTGTCAAGTTTCGTTGCATTCTGACGTGCTTAAGGCAATATAAACAAATACACAATTTCCAAAAAATCAGTCTCTAACACCCTGAAATGGACCCTGTAACTAGAGCTCTATTTTCGATGCGTCAAATTGTTATGGGACCATTGTCATTGGATCCGACATGGCAAAAACCCTTATGGATCAAGTTTCGACTTAAAAAAGCACTCCAGGACAAAGTTATGGGTAAAAGACCAAATATGGTAGGCAGAAAACTATTCATGTGCGCCCTCCCTACACCAAATCACCATTAAAGGTATATGTTTTTACAGTCTCGGGCAGTGATTTTCGGGGCCATATCTCACTTACCCGTGTCGGATCATGAGCAAAATTTGGGAGCATATTCGTCTCATCAAGATGAGCATTTTGATATGTCGCACGTACCGTGACAACGCCTGAGAGGGGAGAAATGCTAGAGAGAAGTTGTTGATCCGTGAAGAAAGGTGCAAGAAAATCAGCAGCGACATGCCTCGCTCGAGCAATCAAATCACGGTGCTCGGGAGTTAGATTGATGCGAGACTAGTTCCATCGTGGGCGTAAGGTCTAGGACTATGTATCATCCGAACCTCGTACATGATGAATGGTCAGATTCCACACACAAAGACAATAAAGTGACTGTAAATTCTGGCTCCAGAATTTCAGATTCCGGCCATAACCCAAAAGTTACGAAATCTTCGTCCGGGCACGAAATCGAGCTGCGTTTGGTGTCATATGATTGTGATGGCATGCTTAGTGTGATTCAGCGAAGAAATTATGAAGAAACATCAAGGAACGAGCACACCATTGATCCGAAGTTTTTAACGTGGCTTAAAACTATGATCTATGGCTCGAAGTTGATATCAAATCGATCGCCATACAGATCCCTACAATAAGAAAATCATCTTTTGGTCAAACAGGCACCAGAGCAACCTCAGATCATCCATGGAAGATCACCTATGTTTTAGGGCGGCAGCAGGGACTGTTTTAGAATTCTATTTATTGTTAGGCTGGGGCAAAACAGTGATTTTTCACCCATTTTCAGAATTTATTTTAATTCAATTAAATTTTAATTATCATAAATTGAGATAGTGTTTGGGCATCTATCCATGTTTGGGCCCAATTCTATAAATACATGCTAAACCTAATTGTAAAGGTTCTTCCCTGATTCGCCCTCAGGCATTCCATTGATCAATAAAGTTCGTGTTTATTCTTTGAATTCGTGGGTGCATCTTGGAGAGAGAGAGGAGAGAGAAGAAAAGGGTTGGTACCCTTCGGTAGGGTAATTTTCTCTCTCTTCCTCTCGTCTCTATCTCTTTCTCTCTCCTCTCATCTCTATCTCCTTCTCGCTCTTTTTTTTTCCTCTCTCTAGCTTCTTCTCTCTTTTCTTTCTTCTTCTTTTCTCGGCTTTTCTATCTTCTTCTTTGTGAACACGCACAGCTATGGCAGAGCCATGCATGTCATCTTCTTCCTTCTCTTTCTCTAACCTACACGGCGATCGCAGCGCTGTGTGTATCCCATTCTCTCTTTTTCTCCTTCTTCTTGATCTTTCTCTCTATTTCTCTCTGATTGAATGTGCATGGCGATGTCAGCACTATGCATGAACCTCTCTCTCTCTCTTTTATTTTCTCTATCTCACACACACGTCGATGGCAACGCCGTGTACATTTTCTTCTCTCTCTTCTTCTTCATCTTCTCCTTCTTTCTTTATTCTCTCTGTGCTCTCTCTTTCTCTCTGTCTCTCTGTCTAAACATGCACAGCAATGGTAATGCCATGCACGAATATATTTCTCTACTTTCTTCTCTCTGCACTATTTTTCTCTCTGTCTCTCTCTGTCTGAACATGCACGGCGATGGCAACACCGTGCACGAGTCTCTTTCTCTACTTTCTTCTCTCCGCTCTATCTTTCTCTCTATCTCTCTGTTTGAACATGGACGACGATGGCAAAGCCGTGCACGAATCTCTTTCTCTACTTTCTTCTCTCTACTTTGTCTTTCTCTCTGTCTCTCTCTGTCTGAACATGCACGGCAATGGCAACACCGTGCATGAATCACTTTCTCTACTTTCTTCTCTCTGCTCTGTCTCTCTCTATGTGAACATGCACAGCAATGGCAACGTCGTGCATGAATCTCTTTCTCTACTTTCTTCTCTCTGCTCTATCCTTTTCTCTGTCTCTTTGTCTGAACATGCACGGTGATGGCAACGCCGTGCATGAATCTCTCTTTCTGTTTTCCCCTCTCTCTGACACCCACAACAGTGGTAGCTTCGTGCATACCTCTTTCCTCTTGCCTTTCCTTATTATTCTTTTCTCTTTCCTAATCTCTTTCCTCTCTTTCCTTCTTTCTTCTCTTTCTACTTTCCTTTCCTCTTCCTCTTTCCTAAAATCCTCTTTCCTCTTCCCTAT